CGATAAGAATGACATCGTTGTATATCCACCGTAAAAAATCCTATTTTCTAGATTCGCTTTGCTCCAATTCGCCATGAGTAGGCAACTGTATGTTGGTAAGTTGCAATGGAACCGCGAGATAACCTCCGAAGATGAACGGCTGGAATTGTCACACACGAACGAATAAAATAAAACATTTTTCTCAACTGTTTCAACAATTCGTTCGCTATTATTTTATTTTTATTTCTGCCTGGAACAATATTTTCATAGAACATTTGCATTAAAACATTAGATATTAAAAAATAGACATTGCGAACTTGTCCAAGTACCTATCGTTGGCGCTAGACAAATCGTTTCTAATTTTTCTGGAATGCAAGTACCCCGCGAAAGAAAGTAGGAAACAATTCGAAGCTGGATTACCTGAAACAGACCATCGATGTTTTTCTCTCATCATTCTGATAGCAATTGCACGCCGGTTCTTCGGAAACAAAAAACACATTGTCCATTCACGTTTGACGTCGTCATCGTCACTGAATCACCTGTTTGTGAGGATGAAGTGACGTTACATAGAGCAACTTCTCAAAACTTCGCAAAACTCGAAAATATTTAGAAGAAAATTAGGATCATCGTGTCTTTTAACAAGTGGGCGAAACAAATATTCTTACAAATTGTCTAAATATATAAGTACCTCAAAACGTAAGATACGGTTCTACAAAGACCCAGGCAGAGCTAAACACAGTTAAAGATCTCAAGAAAATGTGAGAAAATATCTCAGCCTTTTTTAAAAGGTTCAGAATCAGTGGTTGGGATAGATTCGGTGGATCCAGCGTTGATAAAAGGAGAAACGGTGATTAAAATGGCGAAATGATTTCTGAAAAAACGGGGTATCGGTCGCGAAGAGTCCCCGGGAGTCAGGCGACGCATCTGGCGGGGTAGCTGGTGCCCCTCGGTCGCAGGGGGCCGTGCTAGGGGTTGACGATGGTGGTGGAAAGGAAGAAGCGGTCGCCCTCGCGAATTCCGACCCGAGGTTATAGCCGCTAATCGCGGCTGGTGCGTGGTAAGGGAAGGGAGAGAAGAAAGGTAACGCGCGGCAAGGCAGCCCAAGGTAGTGATATCGACCGTGGATATGTTGTTGATGCCAACGGTAACCATTGGTGACACGGAGCCAATTGACCAATTGCAGTGTTCACGGTGGCCGTACCCGACCAATCCGCGCACGTTGTGCTGCCGCTTTTTTGATTGGGCGATACCGGGAATAAGAGGCCAGTTCGAGGCCGCCGAGACCCACAAACGGACGTCGAGACACATCGAGTGGACACCGTCATCGTCGTTGTCGTCTACCACCAAGTGGGAAGAACTTCGTCGGACCGCCGATGTCCAGCTCCGTCGTCGACTTTGGATTTGGATTCTCTGTGTCCGTACCCGGGTCAGCCCTATGTAAGGCTCTCTTGCTTATTCCTCATCGGCACCGTTGCCCGAACGATCGAGTTAGCGTGTTTGTGTTCGTCTGCACCCAAGATCTCTATTGTTTGCTGCACAGAAACTTGCCTTGCGTTTGGCTGGACCTGTAGTAGCAGCCAAAGCCCCGACTGGTTTCCCGAGAACACTCATACCGCTGTCTTTGTCGATTCCCAAGGAAAACAGAGACAACGGTATGGGGAGTGTCCTTTGAAGATTCAGTTGACTTGAATCTCACCTGCAAAATCCAAGATACCCGCTGTTGTACTTGTACGGTCACTCGATCCTCAAAATTTAGGGTATTGTTTGCTGCACAGAAACTTGTCTCTTGCGTTAGGGTGCTTGGGTAGACCTACAGCAACAGCCCCAACTGCTGTCCCTGTCGTTTTAACAGAGACAACGGTTTGGGGAGTGTCCTTTGAAGATTCAGTTGACTCGAATCTCACCTGTAAAACCCAAGATACCCATCGTTGTACTTGCACAATCATTCGATCCTAGGACGTTTGCTGCACTGGTACCTGATCCTTGCGTCAGAGTGTTTCCATAGACGTAGCACTCAAGATAGGTCTTATTAGTCGTTGCACAGCTATCTGATCTTCGTATCCAGGTGTTTCAGTAGCATTAGTAGCTACAATCTACATATATTAATAGCTGATAGTCCGAAATTCGGATTTGGGCCATCTGAACCGTCTGGGACCATTCTTGATGGCTCGATCCTGAATTTTGAGACTACAGTTCTCCAAGCAAGACAAAGACAACAGCATAGGGAGTGCCCTTCCTAAGATAGCCCAAGATACTATTGTTTGCTGCACAGTTATGAAATCCTCGTGTCAGAGTGTTCCCATGAACCTGGTAACCAAGATCCACGTTATTAATTGCCGCACAGGGCACTCTATCCTCGTTTTTGTTATCGTTGCACCGCTAGCTGATCATCGTGCCAGAATTTTTTACCATCCGTGTAAATACACAAGGTTTTCAATCGTTTCGCGATAGTTGTTTCTCGCGTCGGATCGTTTGCACAGACCTAGCATCCGAAACGTTCACTTTTTCGGTCTCGTCGCGACGCCGGTTCCACCTTTTTACTTCCAGACCACTCTTTGAATTTTTCTGTAGCTTTGTCTAGGCTTCTTCGTTGCTCGGCGACCCATTGTTCATCTCTGTGTTTCCATGCCACTCTGGCGCGGGTCTTTACCCCGGATTGTTCTCCTGTCCTCCGACGAATTCCTCGAGTCGTTTAAATCCAGCCTCGCGGACCTCGCTCGAAACGACAGAATCGGACAAATTTTATTTACGAACGAGTTCTTTAAATTCATACATTTTTTTAACTCATACGAATGGATCTGATATTTGTATTCGTTGGTTGTGAATAAAATTTGTGTAAGAAATTTTGTTTAGAAACGTTTTCAAGTCAGATTTATCCATCGCGAAAAGACTTGTACTTTTCAAACGAAACCGTCTGCATCCCATCGAATAGAAACTCAATCGATCAAACACCGCGGAACCATCGATAACGCAATCAAATCAGTCTGCTTTCTCTCGCTTCTCGTTCCTCTTCCATTTATCAAATGCGGTACATCTCATTATCGAGTGCGCTAGTTTCGTAAACGTGCACCAAAATCATTAGTTACGATTTTTTTTTAAAAGGAATTTATAAAAAGTTCAGGTGGATCTTAAACTTATTCTAGCGTGACTTTACAATCTAACTATATATTCTCTACGCATAAATAAAATATTCTGATATTTTAATACACAAAAGATACGTTTAATGAATTTAGGAATTTCATTTTTTTTTAATTTTACACACTAGTATCGATTATAAAATGAACGATTTGTGTGTCTCAATTCACCAGAATGTTTTCTAGACTTTTTCGAACAAATCATAACTGAGAATTGTTGTGTATGTTCAAGAAGCTCTTGAATAGTGGATACGTAAGTACGTATTGTGTTATCTTTCATTGGTGATTGATATATGCAGCTTAAACGCTACGAAACAATTGACAGGAAGTCGTGCCCTAGATATGTAAGTACAGTGGCGATATAGTAGCCATATAGTCGCAATTAATTTCATTTAACAGCCACTCCAAGTTCTCCAGACAATATCTTGTTTCCGAATCGTTGAACTTTCGCCCGAAATGTTGAAGTCACTTTAAAATATAGAATCAGAAGCCAGTGACTCGGCTAAAACAGCTACTAAAAGAACTGTTTCGTGCATATAAAAATAGATGAGAATATCAAAGTTTGCCATCATAGTAAATAAACAATCAGTTTTAAACAACCTATTTTTATTCTGATGTCTGGAGTCATAGAATTGTTGGCGATTACATTTTGTATTTTGCATTTTGAGTATATTTTATTCATGGTTGTTTCGACCATCTATGTATTCACCCTCTGCAGAAGCAGAGTGTAACGTTTACAAATTTAAATGGGGATGGAAGCTTCTATATTGTCGCGAAATTTGTTTGATATTCTGTGATGTTTTCCACGTCCATTCATACAGTATTAGTAAAAGCAGTTCGAGGGGTAATTGTGAAACTTGCAATTTCTTCGCTGGTAAAATGATCTCTGTTCCGCCACGGGGGCAACCCGTGACCTTCGATTCGCGAAAATCGCTGATCGTTCGATTGTCGCGTCGACGAGTTTTTCCGACCGAAATGCGCCATCGGACGTAAGATATTATGCAGACCGAAAGTCCGTGAGAAGTCGGTCCCGATTAACTATTCATCGTCGTTTCAGCGAGCCACGCGTAGGCGTCCCAGTCGTGGAAAGAGTGCAGGATCCGAACCCTGGCAAAGTGGATTACACCGTGCTCCCGGGGGTTTAACACGCTTTTCGCTTCCCGGGCGCATATTTTACAGCCGGAGTCGCGCCCCCGCGACACGCTGATCTATGTGTTTGCTAATGGGGAAATTAAGTTATTTCATTATCGAACGACAACCGCGCGAATACGCCGCTGTTTTGGCGCCAAGATTCCTCGCTGGCTTCGAACGAGAAACGACGTTACAATAAGTAGCCCTAACGAGTTACGAAATACACCAAACACGTGAAACTGGAAATAATTGTTTCAAGGGTTCCTCCATGGCACCTTTTCCTTTCATTTCTCTAAGAAAAATTCCAAGTAATATTTTCAAAAATTTACTATAAAAGTAAATTGACACTCCTCTGTCTTCTCGTGGAACATTAATCATTCTTTTTCTCTTTGATATTCCTTCTTTTTGATTCTATCTTTTTATGATTCTGCACGATCTTGGTCAGCCCGTTGATTTTTTATTCTATGTGTAAATATTTACTAGGTATTATCTACTACTACTATTGTTGTTACTCAGTAAAAACTGAAACATTACTATTCTAAAATAAACAGTTCCTATGGGCGCTTCAAACCTACGTTAATACTTGTAAATTTTTGAATAATGTCATCGACATTAGGAATAGTACAAAATAACAAGTACTCCATTAAATACGTCTATTTGTTATGCTACAATTTGAAAAACTAGCGTGACAAGTCAATAGGTTTATTGCAACAGTGAAAGATAGAAACTAACCTTTTGTTGTCTTGTTTGTTTCAGCAAACTTTAATAGCGAGGAGAACGACGCAGCTGCGAAATAGGTGGTAACTCCGAAGGTGAGTTATAAAAATCAATGTTTGCAGCACTGATTTAACTAATATTTAAGAACGTTAGAGAAACTAACGACAAATTTATCGCAGTAGAAATAACAGTGAAGCAGTAGCTTCCATTCTGTCGAATCATTTGGAATAAAAATACTTTTTAAAACGTTTCGCGTCGAATTAGAAAGTTTTTACGCGAACCGGTAAAGGCTCAACGAACCGGTTAAAATAATCGTCGAAGGTAGTTTTTCATTCTTCTTCGATCGATCTGAAAACATCTAAATAATTCTGCTCAATTTGCAACGGAAATCACGGGCATTGTGATGGAAGAGCATCTCTGTAGTCGCTAATTAAACTCCTCTTTCAAAACGACGCGCGAAAGATTGTCTCTTAAGTCCTTCGTGGATTGCAAATGAGTGCCAGTTGCAACGATACCAGACAAGTATCTCTTTAATTGTTAATTGCACTCCGGTTTCGCACTCTTCCCCATTAATAGTGATCTCTCGATAAGAACGATTAACATCTCCATTGTTCGGAGCAGAGGTTTTCAACTTTTCCGTCGTTAGATTCTCTTTCGAAGGTGTACGTCAGAGTCTTCTGTTTCATTCAATCTGCATTAAAAGTTACGTTTTAAGGACACACGGTTACTGAACGTAAAATTAACTTGGAAAAGAAAGCATGCTCCCCGTTCGATTTTCAGCGTGGGAAACGATAGAGCAATAATCGAGAATTCGATTTATGTAACAAATTGATCGCATGGAACGTTACAAGGAATATTGTTATCAAATTGGAAAATAATCGGTTTAGCTGTATCAAAGTTGTCGAGCACACTCTTTAAAAAAACAGAAGCGCTGTGTCGACAATATTGCGTTTAAAATTTCATACTGAAATCGCTGGAGCTAATGGATTGTAACGTGCTTAATAGAACAAATTTCCATATCAAATATTCGTAAAACAAGTCTGCTCGTTTCCACGAGCATTGCATGTACGAACAAACTCAAACAATATTAAATACCTCTGGGAAAGTATTAGTAATTAAATCGTAATTAAATTAAATCAAATTAGCATCAAATTTTTCGAAATTTCAAATCTCTTGGTCTCAGATTCCTCGATAAACGTTTTGTATAAATAGAATCTTTGACAAAATCTCAGCAACGCCGATGGGGGATCCGTGATTTCGAAGTAACTGAATTTAGAGGCAAACGAACTCTTCCAGCGGCGAATTTTTTCACGACGCGCGTTTCCACGTTTTCGCGTGTTTTTCCCCCCTCTCTTGTCGGTTTTCACGCGCGAAAGCCACGTTTCGAAATGCTCGTTTGCCGATCACGTAAAGATAACGTGTCCGTTACTCGGGCCTCGCGGCCTGCATTCGAATGAACAGAAAAATAGGAGCCGCGTCGAAAGATAACGGCCGACTCCTCTCCGCGTTGTTCCTTCTTCTTTTATTTTTTTTTTGCGTGCAATAACGTATTCTCACGGTAGCGGCGGATGAATGGGAACGGTTAGAAAGTTCATTTGCAACTTTTGCATCTTTTAAACGTTCTTTCAAGCCGGAGCGATTCCCTCGACTGTGTTTCCACGGCTTCTGTTTGGTTCTTTCGATCGCGTTTCGTCATGATTTTTCATCCTCCATACACGTTACCATCGAAAACATTTCCTGATAACATAATACTGGTATTTGTGCCATAAAAGTTGTTCAACAATATTTTATCTAAAAGAGAATTATAGTTTTAGAATGGTTATGTACAAAACACGCATTATTTGTATTTTGAAACATTAAAATCGTCCCATCCGTTTAGGAGTTAAGACTTTTTAAATATACACATGAAATTTAAGGGGATTAGGCACGAAATTTCATTTATGATCAGACATTGTGTATTTTCGGTAAAGAATTTTTTTCTCGAAAGTGTGTAGGATTTTGGGGGTATGTCTATTGACCAAAACTGATTGTAATTGACCCCCATAATTGAAAATAATTTTTTTAGAACGATTAGAAATTTTTCATTTTCGCTGAAAATTTAGGCACCTCTTGAATTTTTTTCTCGAAACTGAGTAAGATTTCAGGAGTATGTCTATTGACCAAAAATGATTGTAATTGACCCCCATAACTGAAAATAATTTTTTTAGAACGATTAGAAATTTTTCATCTTCGCTGAAAATTTAGGCACCTCTTGAATTTTTTTCTCGAAACTGAGTACGATTTCGGGGGTATGTCTATTGACCAAAACTGATTGTAATTGACCCCCATAATTGAAAATAATTTTTTTAGAACGATTAGAAATTTTTCATTTTCGCTGAAAAATTTAGGCACCTCTTGAATTTTTTTCTCGAAACTGAGTACGATTTCGGGGGTATGTCTATTGACCAAAACTGATTGTAATTGACCCCCATAATTGAAAATAATTTTTTTAGAACGATTAGAAATTTTTCATTTTCGCTGAAAAATTTAGGCACCTCTTGAATTTTTTTCTCGAAACTGAGTAGAATTTCGGGGGTATGTCTATTCACCAAAAATGGTTATAATGGACCGCCATAACTAAAAATAATTTTTTTAGAATGATTTGAATTTTTTCATTTTCGCTGAAAAATTTAGGCGCCTTCTGAATTTTTTTCTCGAAACTGAGTAGGATTTCGGGGGTATGTCTATTGACCAAAAATGGTTATAATGAACCCCCGCAACTGAAAATAATTTTTTTAGAACGATTAGATATTTTTCATTTTCGCTGAAAAATTTAGGCATCTCTTGAATTTTTTTCTCGAAAGTGTGTAGGATTTCAGGGGTATGTCTATTCACCGAAAATGATTGTAATGGACCCTCGCAACTGAAAATATTTTTTTTAGAACGATTTGAATTTTTTCATTTTCGCTGAAAAATTAGGCGCCTTCTGAATTTTTTTCTCGAAACTGAGTAGGGTTTCGAGAGTATGTCTATTGACCAAAAATGATTGTTATTGACCCCCATAACTGAAAATAATTTTTTTAGATCGATTTGAAATTTTTTATTTTCGCTGAAAAATTTAGGCACTTACCATTTTAATTGACCCTCCCCTCCATCCAAGAAATTTAAAACAGTTGAAAGTATATACAATTGTTTCAATTCGTGAGACTTCTATTTTGTTATTTATGCAGAGAACTTGATCCACTTTTTTTTTTTAATTTATTTTAATGTAGGTAGGAAAATTAATAACATATTTTCGTGACATCCGATCCCTAGTGAAAACCACGGATGACTTATACACATATGCGTCATTCGACGCCAATTTGTTAATATTAGGAGAAATATTCTCCCGAGTGTCTATAACCTATGTCCATTGTCACGAATTCCTTTGTCCTGACTGTCTCGACGTTGGACCAGGTGGAACGAAATACTCTGTTCAGACACTATAGACATAGGACAAAGGGTTAACTGGTTAGGTGATATGGCAAACTCCGGTATCTACTTTGTATTTCACCTGAAATTGAATAATTTTAATATTAACACATTTGCCCCCCGATTGCTATATAAAAGAAACATTTAATCCCCCACATTATTTCAGTGTATAAAACAGAGACATCTATTAAAATAAAAAGTTATCTATAAGTATCAGTCAAAGACTAAAATTAAATATTTGTTCTTCAAGTAAATTCTACAAAGTAAACAAAGTTCTGTACACGTAGCATCGACTGAAATCGTAACATTTTAACTTTAACGAGTCGTTCCAATAAACTTCTATCAACCATAAAATTATCCCAGTCTCCGTTTACGCTCACGTTCCCGCCAAACTAAAAGAGGGACGGGCAAACTGTCGAAAATTTTAATTGATTTTAAGTAAACTGTAAATTCGACGGGCTCTCGATCGCCAAAAGATCAATGAACGGTCGCTTCGATAAATAAATAGATCCAAAAGCCGGGCAAACCAGTTTCGGCACGAGAGTGAAATAAAGCTTTCCATTTCTTTGCCCCCGTAGATCAAGAGCCGAATCACGGTGCGTGACTGTGAATCCTAGCGCGTGTTCCAACCATGAAATAACAGAGCCCACGACTCCTCCATTTTACCCTTGTGTTTTACGAGCGCGTTACGTCTTTTTCTCTCTTCGCGGGTGCCACGTTGCCTCATTTTCCACGAATCTTATAACAACGCGCATTTGTCGTCAAGTATACGCCGAGAAAATAATTGCAGAACATTCGTCGTGTTTATCGCATCTGCGCAGTTATGTTCACGGCTTGATGGGAAAGAAAATTTATAGAGTCGTGTGTTTAGTTATCTGGGCTCTTATCCCGCGAAGAAAACGCGCCAGAACCTTATTACGAGCGGAATATAGACTTTGGATGAATTTGAAACGCGGGTCGAATCTAATTCGGAAAACGTCGCTCGATCCGAGTCAGTGTAATCAAATATGACTTGACTGTCTATTATTAATGATAGAAATTGGCGTGAGCTATGTCTGGTGCTTCTCTTGATTTAGAAATTAAAATAAATCGACCGAGCCTTTATTCTTTATTAACTTGTTTACCGGAATGCGTGTGAAATGAACGTTTGTTGGCCTTGGAACAAAGCTGCAGTTCCACTTTACGAGAAATAATCATACGTTTCGAAATTAGTTCTAGGTCTTCGTGAGAAAAGCAATCTTAGAAGGAAAAGTTGCATTATTATTGTATATTTATTCATTCAATATTCACGAATGAAGAAGACAAAATATACAAATTAGCTCTTAAAGCTTGCAAGAGAACAGAAAGAGTTCAAAGATTCATAAGTAACTTAAAATAAATAACAATTTTGAATTACACATTAGATATAAAAAAACTGAATTTTATATATAATAATAAAAAAAAACATACACCTCTATTGCTATTGAGATAGAAAGTAGGTTAACTTTGTAATATTTAATTTTCCTTTGTATTTGATGATTACATAAAATCTACCGTTTCGTTATATAATGGGAGATTGTACATTTTATCGATTTTAAGTTATTTTGTAACATTAACGTATCGTTTCCTTGAAGAGGGCACGGAACTGAGGTCGGAACGAAAGAAT